TTCAAGTCGCATCCCATCCCAGATTCAGCGGGAATCACCTGACCGTTGAGATCTCTCTGGCAGTGGGCAGTGCTCATCAGTACATTACTCAGCACTAGGTGGGATCAGAAACAGATTGCTTCAGATATGCTGGAGCACCAGCGTTGTACATCTTCCGTTACACACAGGTCTTGGGCTTGGTTGTACACAGATGGCCGCGCGCTCTCTCTCTCATTCCTCTCTCCCGTCTCTCCCTCCCTCGCAGGAGCAGCGGGAAGTCCTGCACAGCCTGCGGCAGGCAGCCTTCGAGACGGAGAGCGAGGGCAGCCTGAGTCACGAGCGCCGCCGCTCGCTCTGCGCCAAGGAGTTCAAGAAGCTGGGCTTCTCTGTGAGTCAGCGCCGGCTTCCCCTCCTCCCGCCCCCCCTCCCTGGCTCTGCCGGCCCTGTCGTTCCTTCACTGGCCTGACTCGCGGGGGACTGACACCTGCATCGCCAACAGAAACGCAGCCTCGCTTCAGAACGATTTGATCAATCTGGATCGTTTCTTCAATGGCTGTTTTAATAAAAAGACAGATGTCCTCCTTGCTCCCGTGACTCCGAGGACGGGTGTGCAAATGCGAGTTTGACAGTATCGTAGGGCTTATTGTTCCTTTCCTTCCGTTCCTTTCCAGAACAACAGTAACCCGGGCCTGGACCTGAACCGCACTCCTCCGGGCCTGCTGGCCCTCGAAACCATGTCCTACTTCTCCTCGCGCTACCCTGATGCCTACAGCCGGGTGAGTGAAGCCTGGCAGGGCCTGGGGCTACAGAGCTGTCTGGCCCCTTGACATAAAACACTTAAGGGCTGTTTTCACAGACCAAGATGAGCTCTACTCTCTTACCGTCATTTATTCCACCATTATGAGGCTCCTGGTAAACGTTCAATCCTGGCGCTCAATCCTGATGAGGGCACAGTCTCGAGCCTGTCCTGGGCACAGGGCAAAAGGTAGAGCTACACACTGGACAGGGTGCCAGCTCATTGCAGGATACATGCACAAGCACAAAGGGCCAATTTGGAGAGATCAGTCCACTCAGTTGAAATGCCTTTCGATGGCAACTAGAGTACATTGAGAGATTCCAGGACCAGAAAGCAGGGCTGCTTGTCATACCACCATCCCACTCAAATAAAATAACCTATTCTGGTGAAATAACACCAGAAATAATATTTCGCCACCCAGAATTAATGACCAGGCTCTGTAAACGCACTGGTTCAGCTCGCCAAGTCGACACTTCGTTGAAACTGATTCATACTAGTCCAAATCTTGCGTGTTGCAGTTTGTTTTTTCTTCTTCTAAGATGTTAGATGCTAAATGCAAATATTCGCGCCCGGACCTGGTCAAGACAGATATAATTCCCAGAATGGGTGTAAGCAGGATGTGTGGGTACCCGTGTGCGAGTGTCCTGCCTGACTCCTGCTCCTGTGCCCCCAGTTCGTGCTGGAGAACAGCAGCCGGGAGGACAAGCACGAGTGCCCCTTCGCCAGGAGCAGCATCCAGCTCACCCTCATCCTGTGCGAGATACTGCGCATCGGGGAGCCCCGTAAGTTTCAGGGGGGCCGTAGGGGACAGGGACCTAGAGCTGGTGGCCTTCTGGGGCACCTGTGTCAGGGGTAGGTGTGGAGAGAGTGAGTAGCTCACTGAGGTTTCCGCAAGCCTCTTCACCTCCGTGCTGTGAGCTGTTACCTGATTTGATGATGTCATCTCAGCTGGCCTGATTTCTGAGCTCCCAGAACAGTCTGAGCTGCAGACTGTTTTAAACTGAATCACCCGTGTTGTATAAGTGTACAGGGGACTTTTAACCCTGCTGGCAGTCGGCCGTGATGTACATTACAGCATATGGGGATGTGTGGGAGCCCTCTGTAGTGTGATCTCTGTAGCACAGAGCGAATACAGACAGTGAGGGGGGAAAGGAGACACGCAGACTTCACACAGGTGGTACAACGGGACAGGGACGAGAGAACTCCCTTTGTAAGTGGATTTTCATCACCGTGGTAATGTGGTCCCTTGCTGCATACGTGTCCAGAGTTCAGTTCCTGAGCCGCCAGCTCCGAGCACTCCAGGCGGCATTGGGAAACTTGAATGGGGGTAACGTCTTGTTGCCCGGCAGCCTGAATTCCCCACTTCATTCCGCTAGATTTTCTGCTCTTGAATCTCAGTTGTGTTTCACTGGGCTCACCCTACCCACCTGTCCCGCAGCTTCGGAAACTGGCCAGGACTACCACCCCATCTTTTTCGCCCAGGACCGCCTCTTGGAGGAGCTCTTCTGTATCTGCATCCAGCTGCTGAACAAGACCTGGAAGGAAATGAGAGCCACCCAGGAGGACTTTGATAAGGTATTTCATTTTCTCGGCTTTGTTCATACATCTACATGGTTTGTCACCTTATTGTATTGAATGTATGCACTGTAACTGTCAATTGCCCTGGGTCAGGGCATCTGTTAAACAAATCAAGAAGAAAGCAAGATCCCAGGAATAACGGGGCTTCTTACTATGGATGTGGAAACCAGGGTACAAATAGTACTTGTCCCTGAGTTTCAACACACATGTATATTCACACCTTTTTCATTAGGGAATCAACAATAGGTGCCCAATTTATTATCTGACCTCCTGGAATTTATGAACAGTCCCCCAGATCTCACAGCTCCGGGATGCCTTCACGTCTTCTGTTCAGCACGTTCTGTTTCTTCTCACTTGCGTTGGAACTGCCGATGCGCGAGGGCTGTCGGTTTCTGTGCACTGAACCCCCCAGAATTCACTCTCCGGTGCTGTGACTGCTGGACCGGCAGGTGTAAAACAGTCCACGATGTTGAGGCAGTTGCAGCGGGGAAAGGGAATAAAGTTTGAAAGGCTTCGAAAGTCACCTGCCAGGAGGCGACTTCCTTGTCCGCACTCCAGAAAGGTCACACACGGCCCCGTGGCCTTCCGACCTCGGTGAAAGCTCAGCCACCAGGCCCTGCATTGTGTGGGCTGGACTGCTGTGCTCGTTCCTGCTTGCCCCTCTAATCCCTGCTGGCTCGATTGAAAGCTTGGGAGAAGAATGGCGGCATTTCACCAGCGTATTATCTGTACAGAAAAACACCCAAGCACAGCCTTTCAACCTGAATGAGAGACAAACAGGTCACAGTTGTGAGAGAGGCAGTGACCCTGTGATTCAGCATAAAATGCACAACACATTTTCTTCTCACCTCGTATTAGATCCAGTGGATGGTTTTTGACTTTTGTATCTGTGTTACAGAACTGACGCCTTTACTCCAGTTCTTTACCAGTATGTAACTAAAAATCCAGTGCTCCAGTATGCTCCCTGTGCTATAGGAGTTGCCATCCTTTGGATTAGTTGATAAAATGAGGTTCAGATTATTTCGCCATTAAATAAGAGTAAGAGTAGAGACTATATCTAGCTCTGGGTTTGTATGAGCTGGTCCACCTTAGGTTCCCACTTAAATATATGCAGCAGTTTCTCTCCATTTGATATGCTATGCTTTAGGGCGTAATGATTTCTGGAAGTCCCCCAGATGGGGGCTGCACTGGATGAAGAGGATGCTCTCCTACTGTATGTGTATAAAGCTTTCAGATCCTCTGCGATACAGGCCTGTTTATAAATAGAGTTAATTGACTGACCCCCATGTAAACACGGCTCAGATAGATGCTGGCAGTGACGAACGGCATCTGTGCATGGGATGCTGGGAGATGGTTGGAAATGGAATGAATAGAATGGAATGTGCAGGGGAGGAACGTGGCTGCCAGCTCGGATTATTTCGGAAAAGCTTACTGCGCAGATCGGAAACAGAACTCCGGTGCAGATGTCCACTCGTGCCTTCTGTTTTCAGATTAGGGACACGTTTGTTTTTGATCCTCTTTTGATTTGTGAATATCATTTCATATCATCCTGGGTTTTAGACAAGCATCAAAACAAGCATCATGTTCATGTTGGCTGGAGGAGTGGAAGGTGTCTCTGTGCTAAACTGGCTTCATTACATCTTTGTTTCTAGATGAGCTACAACTGCAACTTCATCATGACTAATAAATGCACCAATCTGCGGTGCTCTGCTATAAATAAGATGCTGTTAAGTCTGGAAAAACTGTTAAGTCTTATTAGCCAACACGCGGGGATACTGACAGATTAAATGTGAGATTGGCTCTATGCACATAAATTTACACCCATAAATAAACCTTATATTTTAGTAGCGACCTTGCAATTTATTTTGTTTGAGCAATGAACACAGTCTTTATTTTGCCATGTCCCCTGTTTTATTTATATCACAGCAAAGTTATACGGGGGTTATTTGTAGGCGCCGTAAAGGTGATCTCTCTGTCAGAACGCCCTGCTCTCAGCTGGCTGCTTCTTGTAGTGCTGGGGGTTGGGTTAACCTCTCAGAGGTCTTTCTGCATTTGGGATGGTAACTGCCTTCTTTGTGAGTGGATAGTGAAGCCAATAGGATCACTGTTGGAGAGTCCTGCAAGAGTGCTCATGAATTCGAAAAAGGGGTGAGAGCTCGGCTTTTGGAAACTATCAGAGTGTGCTTGTGCACCCTTGGCATCTTCAGTGTTGCTCTACATTATGATGGGTGTCTCGGTCTAAGGATCTGATTAAAAATGCTTATTCCCTCTCGTCTTGGGGTGTGTGATGTAATGGCTTGTCCAGCCTGGCCCAGGGAGAGTGTAGAGAGAAGCTGGCTGTGCTGTATCTGGGCTGCTCTGTCTGGTCGGTATAGCGTCCTGTCAGATCCTCCCATAGCTTAACCCCCCTGATTGTGAAGGAACAACTGAGGTCCAGCTTTCAGAGAACAGGGAGCCTCTGCAGGATCCTCTGGCAATGAGCTCTGCAAATCTTCTCAGACTGACTCACAGCGCCCCTTTCACTGAGCTTGAGCTCCACTAATCCTGACCGGAAATCCAGCCCAGAGCGTGTGGTGTTTTTATTTTTATAATTCTCCCGGGAACCATCGACAGCTACCCTCTTTGGCATGCGGAGAAACTGGTTTGCCGCATACATCTTTAGAATCTGAACCACTGCACTACGGTTAACTGCTTCAGTGAAACGCTCATGAAGGGAACCACCTGAATGCATGTGGTTTTTTATTGTCTCTAGTCGATTGCTAAAAGCCGGACTGCACCTGTTGGGTTCTTTTCCACTTGGCTGAGCGTGTAATGCAATAACAGAGAACAGGAAAAGTATGAAAACACGTCAATGGGGCGTGTGACCGTGGGCGCTGGATTGGATAACGCTGAAGAAGAAGGGGAGGAAGAGTGATCAGGGAATAAACTGGTAACAGATGCGTAACGAGAGAGAAAGAGGCAGCCTGAGACAGCACCTCCGCGGAGAGGAGCTGGCCTTCCCCAGTTCTGTCGTCTCCCTGCCTGTTGTCTTGTCTTCACTGTGCTGTTTTCTCTGCGACTGTTTCCCGCCACTAACCGCTGTTGGCAGGCGAGGCACAGTCTCCTGTCAGCTGGGGGCTTGGGGCAGAGGCAGGAGGGCTTATGTGTGTGTGCGTGTGAAGAGGAGGAGAGGAGGGGCTGGCTTTGTCAGTGCCTGACGCAGCTCGAGGGGGAACACAATGCGTGAATCCTCTTTTGTGCTGGGATCTGTTTGGGCGAGCATCAAAGGAAGGCGCCGAGCCTCCCCCTCACTCGGAGCGGCGCGTCGCAGTTAGCACTCGGGCTGTGGAAGTGGGACCTGAGGTAAGATAGCAGCCACGCGGATTGTGACAGAGCGCCTCTGTGCCCGGCGGGGGCTGCCGGCCAGGTTGGAGCCGATAGCGCTGTTTACGACAATGCCAGCCGGGATCGTCTGTCAGAGGTGCCTGCCTCACTCCCGCCCGGGTGACAGCAGGAAGGCAGTACCCTTCCCCGTCTGGGTCTTCGCTTCGCAGGCCCTGAGAGACAACACGCTGCTCCTCAGCCCAAATTCAGTTCTGATTTAAATGTTTGGGCAGCTGTGCCTCAAAAAGCTGGATGACAGATGGAGGTCAGTTTGGATTTTCTCCGCTGCCGGTGTGCGATCGGGATTAGAGTAGCAGTAGCTGCTGGTTGGGTAAATTCTGTCGAAGGAGCGGTAATATTGTGTATAATATTTTAACGGAATATGCCACTCGCCTAACGGAGGCTTTGCAGCCAAAATGCTCTTTCCTTCCTTCTTTTTACTTTTCAGAGTGACATCAACCTCTATCTGTTCCTTTGTAGCTCTCAGACCGACGCCGTTTTCCACTCAGATCTCTTCATGTCAGTGTTGTCTTTGCTCTGCGCGTCTGTAAATGTGTGTGTATATAGAAGGAGAACCATTTGCGTTGTACAGAAACAAAGGGGGGAAAAAAGAAAAAAGTAAACTAATTGAAATTGTACACCAGTCAGGGTTCATCCGAAAAGTTTCCTTCAGGTTATTGCTCGGATTCAGGTAGTTTTAAAAATGCCTGTCTTTTTACAACAGCTGTTACAACAGTTGGTTTTAAATAGGTGATAGTAGTAGTTGGTAGCATCCTAAAATGAAAATTGACCATGCGGTTTTATTACACTGTTATATCTGGGTGACGTCTTTAAAAACAGAGAGGACTCACATGAAGGTCATGAAATTGGGACTGATTTGTGTAGTTCAAGGTTTTTTCCCGGAATTAACCGCTTGGTCCTGGGACGATCCCTGTTTTTAGTAACAGTACAAATACCAAAGGGGGAATGGGTAGAAGCAAAGAAATGAAAAGCATTTTGATCACCGAAATGTGCGGTTAGCGTTTTAAAAAGAGATGCGACTGACTGGCCCTGAGGGTTGGAGGTGAGGTTTCAGCGCGGGGTCGGCAGCTCATGAGCTTGGCCTGTGTTGTCCCTGTGCTCTAGGGATGCTGGCTGCTAGTTTTGCCTTGGGTGGGTGGTCAGATTCAAACAAAGTCCAAGTCACAGACTCGCTCTCCCGCACCTGTGGAAATTCCTCCTGCTCTGTCCGTCGCTGTATAAGAGCCCGAAGGAATATTCTGTTTTCTGCTGTTATTTCAGACATATCTTATCCAGTTTTATCCTTTGGAAATGCCCTTTCCGCCTCTCCCCCCCTCCAGTTCAGCAGGCAGCTAGAAGGTTAATATAAAATCTTTACTGCAAGATTTGGGATTTCTGCTTGTAATTCATGATTTCGGCGAGTAGGATGGTTATTTCAGTGCTAGCTGAACCTCCCCCAGGAGTGGAGAGTTCAGGAGAAGGCTGCGGTTCTGAGAAGGGTTGTCTGCTCTTGGCTGAGGAGGTGTTGGGGTGCCGTGCCCAGATTAAGAGAATATATCTCCGGCTGACAGAGGAGGAGGCACCTCGAGGTGTGCCTGAGCGCTGTGTAAATAAAGACAGATGAAGGGCTGAGCAGCGGGAGGGCTGCGTTGGTGATGGGGGGCGGGTCAGCCGCGGCCTTGTAGCCTGCGGTTTGCGCTGCTGCAGTTGCCTAGGAGACCGGTGCGTGCTGTCCACACTGAATCGGGTCCCCCCCGTGGAAATGGGAGTCCCCCAGTGCCCAAGGTCACCTGAGGTCACAGAAGAGCTGGGCTGGTGGAAATGGGAGGGGTAAATGCTGGTTTTTAGAGCCCATCGTGACATTGTTGACTTCTGCATGATTTTGTTGAAGCAAAGGATGGGCCAAACCCTCATTTCTAAGCAGTTTCAGTCTCTCGCACAGGCACACACATTTCATGTAGCTGTCTGGGTTCTCCTGCAGTCTCTGCTGTAATTCCTGTTCCTGATCACTGAGTATTCTCCATGTGGGAAGGTAAACAAGGCCAGGTGATGCTGGCTGTCCTGTGCAGTATCAGTGCCAGCTGTCTGGTTTATTTATGTTGAGCAGAAAACCCGTCGACCTTGACTCTATCCATGGTCCTGGAGAGGCCCAGTCCAGTTAGTCTTACAGGTTTCACTTAATCCTCTGTTATTTCCAAATTAGGAACACTTAGTTATTGATCAATTAAAGAAGCAACTATTTCAATGCAGGAAACGCTGGATCTTGAGGATATTGTTTTTGTTGCATGTGATCTGTGACTATCGTATGTGAACAAATAACCTGATTAATTGAACGTGGTTAAATTGTTCCAGGCCTCTAGATTTAATGTTCTCCTGTAAAACCTCCTGGAACAGAGCTCTCAAAGACCAGGAAAGGAATCTCCTGCTTTTGAGGGAGTAAAATGGGAGACTCCAGTAGGATTTGTACAAGTCTGTGACTGCAACCCTCCCAGAGAGAATGCCTTTGTATAAATAACACAGTGAAATAACAGGGTTATTTTAAAAACAAAACATTGCACTCCTTCATCCCCATGCGCTGTTGCAGCTGTGCCAGTCTGGCCTCGCTGGCTGAAACAAGGTTTCGCTGGGCTATATCAATGGCACAGATTGACATGAACTGCCCTCCTTTTTTCCTCCACGGTTCAATAAAAAGAAGGGTGCTAAACAGGGGTGACAAGGTGGCACAGCAGTGCCTCGCAGTGCTGGGGCCCTGGGTTTAATTCCTGGGGTGCTGTGTGGAGTTTGCATGTTCCCCCCCGTGTTTTTGTGTGGGTTTAATCTAGGTGCCCCGATTTTCTCCCCCACATTCGCAAAACTGTGCTGTGGGTTAACTGGGTTCTGGGCAAACCGGCCCTGGTGGGAGTGTGCGCGTGTCTGCGTCTGCCTGCCCCACGACGGGCTGGCGTCCCGTCCAGGGCGTTCCCCGCATTGCGCCTGTTGCTTGCCAGGTCCAGTTCCTGCTCTGGCCCCGACCCGACCCTGAACTGGGTAAAGTGGCCAGAAAGGGGGTGGGTAGAGGGTGTTGCACGGTTCGAGCAGACCGGCCACCGGATTTGTTCACTGCTCTTGGGCGGGGCCCTCCACAGAGAGGACAGCGGGACCTGAGGGTCGCCTGGCGCCCCCCCCCCCCAGCCCGCGCGCGCACTCAGCAACGAGCTTTCGCTGCCCAAAAGGAAATCCCATTCTGCGCGTGGGACAGCCCTCTCAGGCCGAGCCCCTCTCGCCCCCGCAGGTGATGCAGGTGGTCCGGGAGCAGATCACGCGGACGCTGTCCAGCAAGCCCACCTCCCTGGAGCTCTTCAAGAACAAGGTGAACGCCCTCAACTACAGCGAGATCCTGAAGCTGCGGCAGACCGAGAGGCTGCACCAGGAGGAGACCCTCGCGCCCCCCGTGCTGTAAGTCGAGCCCCTGTCCCCGCTGTCCCTGTGGCACTGTGGGGGGGCATTCTTAGCCAATGGACCTGCGGCGATACCTCTTCTTATAGGTAGGAGGTCCGCGAGGGGATCTCTTTCAAACGGTTGATTTCCTTGAGAAAAGCAGTAACTGAGATTATAGAAAAAGAGAGAGCTTCTTATCTTGAAAGGGGAGTGAAAAACTAGGCACCTTATCTATAGACCTGGGGCAAGGTTCTGCAACAAGCACTGAACAGCTGCCTGAGCAATAAATGTAGATGTAATAAATGAGCACATAATATAGCATCTAGAAGCATTTAATATAATAAACATTTAGTGGAACAGCCGTAGGCAACAATGTTATCATTGCATTCCCATGCAGTTGTCAGATAACTATTGGCTCAGCCCCATTCTTGGCCTGGGGATGCCCTCATGTGGCGGACAGCAGGAATTTTGGGTTGGGAAATCAACTCACTTTATGCCACAAGGGGCCGGAATTCCGATTGCAAAATTTAGAAAATGTAGGGGTGTTACTGGCTAGCCGGCTGTGACCGGGAGTCGGCTTGTGGTGGGGCCGGTGCTGGCGCAGTGCCTCTAGGGTTAGAGCCCAGGTGAATGGTGCAGGGCTTTCTTAGCTGCTGGTCAAACAGAGATGCCAGTGACTCATTCGCCACAGCAGAATCCAGGGAGAGGACCTGCCCTGGGACCTCATTGTGAGCCCATTGTGTCGAAAGGTGGAGTACTGGAGTGACTGTGAGCCGAGCTATGAAGACACAACTCGGGATTCCACAGCAGGGTTATATAATAGAGTGAGAGAATTAGAGATTTTAAATTTGGAATGAAAAAAAACCAAAGGATTAAAATGTGAAATTCACACAGTCCTCTTGGGAAAGGAGGTCTAGAACTGTTAGCAGGGTGGCTTTAGAGACTCCCTCTTTTCTCTCTGCCTCTGTTAATGTTATCCAAATTGCATGTCTCACTCCTCTGGAGTTTGAGGTATCACGCGAGCATATTTGTGATGAAGCAGTCAGACTCTGCAGTGCGCGGACTGTGATGTCACTGCTGTCCGGCCCCTGCAGGTCCTCTTCCCAGCATGCTCCGCAAAAGGTCATACATGACGCAGCCAGCAGACAGCAGACAGCAGACAGCTTAGGGCATGTGTCGGTTTAGGTGAATTTTACTGATGGATGCAGATCTGCACATAGATCATGCTTTGAGGGAGGTGGAAAGGCTGCATGCCACATTTTGTCAAAATTTGGAGGGGAGTGGTTAATTCAAAATGGATACCATTATAAATGCACACAGTGCAGTAACGGAGCTCTCGCACTTTCTACTGCTTTATGATTGTAACTTTGATTGGGTTAGGTACTGATACCCAGGTATTGTCAATGCCTGTCTTAATCTCAGGCTTAAAAATGAAACGTTATTTTAACTGCGGGGTGGGTGAGGAGCAGAGAAGCCTGACTGGGTTTGTCCTGCCAGGGAGCTGAAGGAGCAGCTGAAGCCGGAGCTCCTGGAGCTGATCCGGCAGCAGCGCTTGAACCGGATGTGCCACGGCACGCTCTTCAGGAAGATCAGCAGCCGGCGGAGACAAGGCAAGAGCCGCCCATCTGGGGGCAGGAGGGGGTTGGGGGGTGTCGCATCACGCAGCCTGCTGGACGCAGGACACCACAGGCTAGAGCAAGCTGCCCCGAGCCAACATCTTATCTGTGCTTACCAAAATCATGCTACGCATCAGTATGATTCTGAGTCATGTGTGCCAGGAGAGCTGAAGAGAGGGATGTAATTGCAGCTTACCTACCACTAGTGGCCGCTATAAAACCACTAAAATGTTGTAAATAGGTGCACTAGAGGAGAAATCGATCATTGGCAAGGGGCTTAGGAATTGTACATTTTCAAATGGGTAAAATATAAACTGGGTTTAGTATGAAAAGGGCCATGCACGGTGCTGGCGAGTGTTTTTGAATACTCTTTGTTGTTTTGGCCCTGTAAGGGAGGAAATAAAGCCTCCTGGATTTATTTCATTTTGCCGTATTGGGTTGCAGACCTTGGGACGGCCCAGACAGAATACGGGCTTGGTATCACTGAGATTCATTGTCGAGAATCTGCTTCCCCTGACCTGCTTTTGCCTTCTGAATATTCAAGCCACCGACAAAGGCATAGAGATTGATGGACGTAACTCCCAGATTCGTGGAGATCTGAGGTGCCCCAGTCTGACACCGGAGTGTGTGCATGGGAGAGGTGATTTGCGGGGAGCTGGCCGTCAGGTTCCACGCACCCTCACTCTGTGTGATGTGCTGTTGCAGACAAGCTGTGGTACTGCCGCCTGTCGCCCAATCACAAGGTGCTGCACTATGGCGATGTGGACGAGGAGACGGACGCCCCCCCCATTGAGACCCTACAGGAGAAGAGTGAGTAGACGGGCTGGGAGACCCACAGCTCCCGTTATTTGCTGCAACCTGGATTTTCAGCACACTAACCGGCCTCACGTGGATAGAACAAGCAAGACTAGCTCTCTAGAGAGAGTGCCATCCCACTGAGCATTGTAACAGCGTTGCACTGACACTCTGTGAAGTGACTGAGGGCCTGTACTGAGATCTTGGATTTCACTTTCCTGGTCCTTGTCTATCCCTAGTTCCTGTGGCTGACATCAAAGCACTACTGACAGGCAAAGACTGCCCTCATATGAAAGAGAAGAGCTCAGGAAAGCAGAACAAGGTGAGCTGGACCTATTAAGAAAGAATTAAGATGATAAATGACAGGAGGCCATTGTCTCATTCGGTTGCTAGTAGAGACCATGCTGTAGGAAAAGTGAAAAACCAAACAGTTTTCATTGGCTGAAGCTGGATCTGGAGGTTACAATTCGGTTAAACACTTCCGAAGTTTCAGTTGGCTATTTTTCCTGCTCTTCCAGGAAGTCTTGGACCTGGCTTTCAGCATCACCTATGATGTGGAGGAGTACACCCTGAATTTCATCGCCTCTTCCCGAACTGACGTGAGTTCTTACTCAGTTCCTCTTCTGGAGTGTAGATTTAGGGTCTCGTTTGTTCTGGTCGCCCAGGGAAAACCTGTGTAAAAGCATTTTCAGTGGGGACCCCATGCAGAAGAAAAAAGAAAACATTTTAGTGGGGGAGCTTTTGGTCAGAGGTGGAACAATATAAAAACATCTCCCGTTCTGAGAAACTTAATTTAAGTGTCTCAGTATGAGTCCTGTGTACTTCATAGTGTTGAGAATAGAAGGCTTGATCCAGACATGCAAAACTGCACTAAGAACTGATTGCAAATGATGTATTTTATGCCACCCACGCAGACCTGTCTCAACCTGAATGTGTTAGATAACTGTGAAAATTCATTGTAGCTTAACATTCACACCCTAGTCGGGAAGTGCGAACTGCTTGGGCATTTTACAAGCACACCGAAATGCAGATACTTTCAAAATGTTTGTATTAACAGTTCCCCTATAAATTAGGCCGCTAAGCGTGGCAGGATGCACTAGGGCGCCCCCCACGGGTTTCTGAAGCGCCGTGTCCGCTGCGCTCCGAGCCGGACGCGGTCAGGCGGTTTGTTTCACTGTGGCCGTGCGTGACGTGCTGTCTCCGCCCCGGACAGTTCTGCCTGTGGACGGACGGCCTGAACGTGCTGCTGGGCCGCGACATGACCAGCGAGTGCATGCGCAGCGAGCTGGAGATCCTGCTCTCCATGGAGATCAAACTGCGGCTGCTGGACCTGGAGAACATCCCCATCCCCGACGCCGCGCCCCCCGTCCCCAAGCCCCCCAGCAACTACAACTTCTGCTACGACTTCAGCCAGGCCGAGCAGTAGGGAGCTCGTGGGGACGGGGAGGGGGCCGGGGGGGATCAGGAGGGTTGCCCGTCCTCGTTGAGCTGGTCTGGGATGTTCCGGCTGACGTTTGACATTAACGCTCTCTAACCTCGGGGATCGGTCCTGGATCAGTCCTGTCTTCTGGTAGGCTGCCGCGGCTCGGACACACCTGGCTGACCTGTTGTGCTCTTCACAGCCCTTCGTGTGATGTGCCGTTGTTGTATCATTCTGTGCCGCTCCCTTACCCTTCAATGAGTGTAAGAATGCCTTACTGCGTTCCCTCCCCTCCTCTGGTCCTGGTTGGAACGATGGCTGACCTTCGGTACTGTACTGTGGGGGCTTTGATGGCGTTAAGTCAAAGAAACTGACTCCGATGGAAAAGGGAGCACTGCTGGTTTCCTTTGCTCAAGGCTGTCATCACCCTGCGATCCTCCAGGTTTCAAGGAAGATACGACTCATTAAGTTGTGGACTAACTAACACTTAAGAGACATGGTCCTATTAAAGAGGTACTGTATGGCCAACAACATGTAACCCCCCAGTTTTATGTGTACGAATATCTTAAATGGGCTACTCTATTCGATTTACTGTATGAATGTTTGATTTCCTACTGTTAGATCCAACCTATGTAATGTGTGCAATACAAGTTACTGCAGTCTAAGTGGAGGCAGAGGAACTCTACAGACTTCTCTAGCTTAAGTAGCTGCAAAAGAATAAAAACTACTAAACGATTTGCTAGGTTGCTGCCAAAAAAGCAGTGCACTTCCAATCAAAACTGTCTGCCTGAGTATTAACTACTACTGAATCTTCTGGCCGTCTCCTGCATGTACTGTACCTGCCATCAGTGTGTGACCAGCAGTGTTGTTCTGGGAGTATACCTCATGGTGGAAGTGGCCATGCTTTACAGGAAGTGATGTCACCCCACTCTTTGGTCTAGACAGGGCCGAACTCTGCCGACATGGTGGAGCTACCCACTGTCAGGGGTGGCGTTGTGTGTGCTCGGAGCCCCCGAGCAACCAGGATTCAGTCCTGGCAGGGGCAGGGAGAGCTGAACTCATCAAGCGTGAAGGCAGCCAGACTAACCCAGCTGCAGGAACAGTCGGGCTCGTATGCTGTCTTGTATTGTACCTCAGTGCAACATCAGCTTCAGAGCCGGGTCTGGGCATTTTTGTAAGGCAGCTCAGCAATATCTGAGTTCCACAAAAGCAGATTTTTGACCTGTGAATCTCTTGGTCACTATGAAGATGAGTTTGGGAACTTCAGTCAGCCGTAGTGATATAAAGGGTTTATTTGCTACAGCTAGTTAAAAACTGTATCTCACCTTGAAAAACATTACTAATAATGGGGTAAAGAAAAAGGCCTCACACAGACCATTAGGTACTCTCTGACTCAGTTCAAGGGACCCTTGAAACATCCAATCCAAAACTGCCAAACAATGTAACATTTGTACTGTATGTGCCTGAGATAAAACTCTGATCAATTTCAGTGAAGTATTATTATTAATAACTTGTAGGTACTTCAATATTAATAATCATATTAGTAATTGGTACTTTGAATAGCCAAAACGGACCTTACATTATGGTCTACTAAGACTAAAAATGCAGTCAATACACTGTTTACCAGCAGGAAACTCAGTAAATGCCACATTAACAATGTTTCATGTAATGTGCTTAAATAGACACGGTAACAATTATATACTCTCAGACTAGTGCATCTTTTTCTGTTTTGGGGTATTGGTAAAAAAGTCCATTGTTATTGTGTTTAAACATAAAAGATTTTCAACATTTTCAGGTTATTTAAAACGCAGGCATCCTTAGGCTTTAAATCGTGTTGCTGCTGAGCAACGATTTCGTGGTCAAAACCTCATCCAGACGACTTTCAGCAAACAGTGATCCCTCGGGCCGTTTCAGTACAAACTGGAGACCAGGGATAACGTCAGCCAAGTGAATTGTCCCTGCCCCTTTTGGAAAAAACTTCTTGATATTCCAGTGTTCGGTTATGACACTTGGGTTATAACGCCAGGATGAACTGTTGCTTTAAGGAGACAATTGAGTGAACTAGACCCTGCAAATAAAAGAGAAAATGTGCAATTTGATTCTGTGAATAATTGTATCTTGTTGGACAATGCTGTTTTGACTTGGATGGTGAAAATGATTTTCCTTGTGAACCTGAACAAAGCCAGTTGAACACAGCCCATGAATAAGTAGATCTTGGTTACTTACTGTGAGCATGGGATCAAACTGGCAGCCCAGAAAAATGCTTTTTCTATTGCTATATTTTTGGGGGTTGGACATCATGGTGTCTTTCACTAGCCTTTGTGGATCCAATACTGTAATCACAACTAAGGGGTAACATGTGACTCATTGCAACTGTTTTGTAAAAGCACCTTAACTTCAAAAATTAAAATGGAGAAAAAGGACCAGCATTGCATCTTGTTCGGATGCCTCAGAGAACAGTGTTAGTTCCTGGTTCCTGTGTTCTGCTTGGCATGACTGATCTTGTCAAGTTGAATGGGCTTGGAAAGATGAGCGATGGGTCGATAGTCTAGACACTGAGGAAACTTGAAGCTCTTTTCTCCTACATGGAAGCAACACTCTCTTTTGTCCCTGTGTGCACATGTCCTGGCCATTCGCTCCGTTTACAACTACAGTTCTCAGCACATGCAATTTCACTTTAACGTGTGAAGAACCACATCTTTTTGTAGCCAGTGTTTTTGAAACCGGGTCACCGGTTTGATTCGGGCAGCAAACAAAACACGAGGAAACGTTTTTTTATTGAAGTTCAAAGACTTGTTTATATACTGACTACGCCCAGATACAGATATAAAAAACAGTCCCACATCATTGTTACCCTTAACTTTTATTGACTCTTTTATAGGTCAATAGAAACGAGCAGAAGGCATTTGTCGTATTGTAATGAACAGAGCCCCAGAAGGCTTTATTCACTGGAATTGCCTTTAGTCACTGAATGCTGGAGAATCACCAGGTACTGAAAGCTACTGTTTTTCAACTTTGTTTTTGTTTTTTTTTTTACTTTTTTCAAAGCCTGGGATTCACATCTGCACAAGCAGGGCCTTTGCAATATCATTTGTGCAAAAGATGCATAAAGATTATAGAACCTTTAAACAGAAACATTTAACAATAAACCCGCGTTCTTGAAGTTCCGTTTATTGCATTGTGCATTAATTATCAGAACCGACATGCTGGAATGTTTAATATTTTTCTTTGAAATGTCACACAACTCAAGGTCTACATCACGGTTTTCTCAGCCTTTTACATCCTGAGCCACACTTACAAAAACAGGAATAATATCTAAGCAGATTATTGTCGATTATTATTAACAAAATACATTGTACAATGTTAAATCTCAGTTTCCCCATCCTGGCAGGAACTGATAACAGTGACACATGGAGCTCCTGCTAATACCTTCTGGTTTTGTTTTTATCCTGTCAAACTTGAAAAGGCCGAACTCCTGCTGCATGTTGTTCTCACATGTAAGCAGTGTTAGAGTGGGGTAACATGCACCATGACCCTTTAGTTACTACACGTAACTAATGAGTACAACCAGTAATTTATTAAGATTTTGTATTTGTCGTGTGTGACAGTTCCAAAATTCTGTGCCACCTCTGTTAGTGTCTTGAGGCTGTGCCACAATGCAGTGGTCAAGACATGCAGGGGGAACAATCAACCTGCAATCATTCCGGTACGTGATTGTTGTCCTGGAGGGACCGCCAGTGTTCGTTTGTACCGTTACAGTTCGAGGTCCGCGTGCAGGCTCTGAGCTTGGCTCTGGCCTGATCACAGGGTGAAGCACAGGTCAGCCCCTCCCACAAACCGGCTGTGGACATTCTCCAGGAAGGGCAGCTGCGCTTGGAGATGCTCCACTCCTGCCATGGTGATTTTCTTGCACATGGACACATCCAGCGTCCTCAGCCTCCTGCAGTGCCGGGCGAGTACGGTCAGGGACCTGGGGGAGTGAGCAGAGGTCATAGGTCATAGGGACACAAAGGTAGGAGACATAAAATCAACTCCCCTCGACTACTGCTTGCACCCCACTTTGTGTTTTTTAAATGGCCGATCTGAATCTGCGGATGTGACTCTCTTCTACTCTCCAGCAGCTCTTTAACTGTACAACTCACAACTGGGAACTCACTGAGGCTCAGCAGGTGTGAGCCTGGTCAGTAGCTGGATGGGAGACTCCTGGGAAAGCTCAGATTCCTGCTGGAAGAGGTGTTAGTGGGGCCAGCAGGGGGTGCTCACCCTGCGGTCCATGTGGGTCCTAATGCCCCAGTATAGTGACGGGGGCACTACATTGCAAAAAGGCGCCGTCCTTCGGATGAGACATGAAACCGAGGTCCTGACTCTCTGTGGTCATTAAAAATCCCAGAGTGGCTCTTAAAAAAAGAGGTGTTACCCCTGTGTCCTGGCCAAATTTCCGCCTGGCCTTTACCAATTATGGCATCCTAATACTCCCCATCTCTGAACTGGCTTCATCACTCTGTTCTCCTCCACACTGCTAGCTGATGTGTGGGGTGCGTACTGGAGTACTATGACTGCCATCACATCATCCGGGTTGTTATATTATTATTATTATTATTATTATTATTATTATTCAGACCATTAGAACAACATTTTTTCCAGGCCACACGTGGAGTCTTCACTAGTGCTGCACGTAAAGTACATGAAGCAGAATCACAGCGACTAGCAGGGTCCTCCCTTCCTGAGACGTGACCCCACTGGTACCCCCCACTCTCTGACCTGTCGCTGAGGCCATCGCAGCAGGCCAGCTGCAGGTGCTGTAGCCTCTGGAGGTGGGGCGCGGCGCCGGCCAGGCCCTGATCGCTCAGCCCGGGGCAGTGGCTGAGGGAGAGGCTGGTGAGGCCACGGCAGTGCTGGGACACGGACAGCAAGCTCCGGTCGCTGATCTCGCTCAGCAGGGAGAGGGACAGCCTGCGCAGGTCCGGGAACTGCACCACCTGCAAGCAGCACAGGCCAGTTTCTATCTTTCCTCTTTCAGCCCAAGAAGCATTACAGGGATGTATTTCCCTGTGCCCTGGTTTACCAATGCAATGTCCAATTTGAGACACTGCAACACCTGCAGAAGGTGTGTATATCTGGGAACCCCTGGGCCACAGCAACATCATGTCCTGTTCTCTTGTTCTTTTGGACAGAGCAAGAGGACGCCAGTGTCTAAAAATTGCAGATGGAGCCCTTGGCACAGCGAATGAAAGAAAGTGGGTGACCACGTTTAGCTCAAGTGATCACAATTAATAAATAGATTGCCTGTTGAAAAGCTCCTATGAAACACAAGCAGCAGGGCTGGTGTCCAGCCGGTATCCAGCCATCACTTGGATTTTGTTATCGGACTCTTTTGATCTTTCAGACGCAACAGCCTTCTTCCTGTTCGTTATGGTATGAAATAACAAAAATCTCAACCTGCAGTACAAGCTTTACTACAGTAGAGCACATTTGTGGATAAACCTTATGACCATCAGGAAATTTAGTAACTTGTTCTTTTAGTAATAAAACCTGGGGGACAGGATATGACTCAATATCAACCTGGGTTTATTGTGAGTCTATTTAATTTAATTTTCAGGAATGAATCAGGTGTGTATTTAGGTTTATGGCTCTGTGTTTTAGCTTCAGATCAAAAAACGATTTCCTTCATGCATGCTCCAATATCATTGTAAACCCAGATACACAATATAAAATTATTGTATTTGTAACATATTACACTTAAGTCTCCAGGGCTTAACATCCAGCCACAGTGCATATTGGGCTATCTGGTATATGACCAAATGCATTTTTTATTAAGATTTTTAACTTTATTTGGCATTTCTTCTATGCCTTGTAGAGGATCAAAGTAGATCAGCGATTTTTTTTGTTGACTGATAATCCAACACGTTCCAGTGGTCACGGGCCAATCTAGCAAAAGTATATAATCCAGTATTTACAAAAAAAATTATCATTAAACTCATGCTGTACTAGATGTACTCCTCGTTTTATCCATAACTTTTAATACAGTAAATAATTCAAAACACAGAAAAATATATGAGTAACAATTTTCTAAAAGCACGCACAAACATACGCTAGTATGAAAAAAGTGATGGTGGTTTTTTGAAAATCTGGTGACCCCTATCCCTGTAGAGCAGGGGGGGGGAATGATCTACTGTAGCACTTTACCTAGCGACTGCTCCAGTATGGTGAAGACTCCCTCTGCCAATTTCTTTACCATCAGATTACCAGTGTGTCCATGTGGAGTCTCTTACACTTGGAGACTGACCGTATTGCATCAAAGTGATTCAAGTCTGTAGGGAAGCGTGACTGGGTGTTGTCATGGTAACCCCCTCCCTCACCTGGGTGATGCTGCTGTCGGTCAGCTTGCTGCAAGCGGACAGGTCCAGCTCCTGCAGGCCCCTCAGGGCCCGCAGCGAGGCCCCCTCTCTCTCGCCGAGCCGCCCCAGCTCCTCCGCTGTCACCAGCCGCGGCTTCTCCTCGAAGGCCGGTGGTTGCGGGGGGCTAAAGAAGCCCATGTTCCCAAAAGTGCGGCTGAATTTTGGCCCTTTGTCTGCCTGAAAATGAGAGACGTGGTGGAAAGGAAAAGAAATGGACAAGCCTGTTTTTTTTTTAAATAAGTAAAATTTGGGTTCTAAAAGCTACTACACAGGCCCAAAAACATACTCCCTGGTGTCTCGTGGAGCATTTTTTTTCCTTGGGCCAATATCTTTTAGGCCTCCTTCACACAGTCCCAGACCACAGTCGTTGTCCAGAATGTTTCTTGCGCCACTCTGTCACTTCTGTGCTTTCCACTCTTACCTCTCCTCTTTCGGGCTGACACTCCTCCGTTGGTTCGACCATTCCCAGCAGCCCCCAGTCCGTCACCTCCTTGCACCAGCCGAGCCGCAGGACCAGCAGGCCGGGCAGGAAGGTGGCGATGCCGCGCACGCTCAGGTCGGTGAGGTACAGACAGGACGTGAGGTCCAGTTCGCGCAGGCCAGGGCCCAGGAGCTGGGCCAGGGAGAACACGGCCGAGTCCTGGCAGAGAGGGCAAAGCAAACAACATCTCAAGAGACGTCCGCAACAAAAACAAGCCATGTGGCACAACAGGCTGAATTACTGTTCACGGTGGCAGGAAGCCATTATCTTTCACTAAAGAGAAACAAATGACTAACTGAGTCTCTCTTGTGAATGCTTTGTCGGTCCCAGTCCCTATAAAAAGATCAGCCTCTGCTGGTCTGTAGAAGTTCCTCCTAGTTTAAACGCTTAATATCTGATTAGTTTTACAAACTACAAACTTGGGTAATGGTGTGGAATTTTAAATGCTACAAAAATCATACTTTTCTTTCCTATATTAAAGCAGATTTTAATAGCTCACCTTTACAGAGCCTTTTACAATTGTTAGAGCTTCTACTGTAATGTGCTCAACGGCAAAATTAAATATGGCAAAGACTTGCCTTATGGAAAGTGCACCTTCATGGATTACACTGATTCCTCTCAAACAAGCCAAAAATAAAATAAATAAAAGTACTCAGAGAATGCGGAATGAGATGATGAACTGAGGAGCTGCTCAGTATGCAATAGAGGAGATCCCCAGCTGGATTTACCCTCATATAGGTGCAGCTCCTGAGGCTGAGGGACACCAGCTTTGCCTGAGCTTGTGGAGAAGAGAGCCCTTTAATCATCTCGATCCCAGTGATGTTACTACACCCGGAAAGGTCTAACGTCTGTAAGCCCTTCAGTTCCATCAGTTTGGACAAACCCTGATCCGTGATCCTCCAGGTTCTCCTGAGATAAAGGCTCCGGATGTCCTTCAGGCTGGACGCAATAGCCAGCACTGCCTTATCAGAGAGTTCGGTGCAGGAGCTGAGGTCCAGGGTTTTCAGGCCCGGCTGGTACTGGCACACTGCAGCTATAGCGGAGTCTGTCAGGTCTTTGCAGCCCGGCAGGCTCAGCTCCTCCAGACTGAGACCCTCCACCCGGACCAGGGACTTCAGGGCTTCTGGGGTGATGCCGGTGCGCCCCAGATTCAGGCTCCTCAAGGTGTGGGCCTGCTCTCCGAGGAACCGGAGCAGGTTCCGGAGGGAGAGGAGGGCTGAGGAGTCGCAGCCTGCGGGCGCCCCCCTGTAGGGGTCAAACTCGAAGGCAATATGGCAACCGGCCAGGCTGAGCCGGCAAAGCTGGGGGGCGCAGGCCGTCAGGCGGTTGAACGTCAGGTCAGAGAGGTAGCGCAGGTTGGACAGGTCCAGCTCCCCTAGCTTTCCTAGGGCCACACGCACCTCGCGCCTGCTCTCCTCCTTGGACAGGAAGGTGCCCGACATGAAGAGGCTGTCCAGCCCGCTGAGGTCCAGCGCCCGCAGTGCTGTCAGCTGGGGCACCAGAGCCATGAAAGAGGACTCTGTGATGCTGCCCCATGGCAGGGAGATACTCTCAAGGCGCGGGCCTAAGTGGAGGGCGACCTGCCTGAGAATGGTCTTGGAGAGGCCGGAGCTGTCCAGGTGGCTGATGGCCACCCCGCAGCAGGGCCGCCCGGCCAGGCCCCGGATCACGTCCAGGCAGGCAGAGGATGCTGGGAACTTGTAGGTCAGATTCTTCTGCAAGACAACATCAACAGGTAAAGAATCGTGAATGCTTTAATTCAGCATAAGAGCCGTTTCTCTTTTTTGGTGGACCCACTTTCTAAGGATTAACAATGAATAGTGTGAAGTGTAACTATGTCCCCAAAATATCTCTAGGCATTTCCTGGAAATACCAAAATATGAGAAGACACTGCTTTGATGAATTAGTGCAATAAAGCAGAGAGAATATGCAGGTAAGGAGGGGTATTTACTGGGCTCTCTGTCAAACAACTGAAAGATGGAAAGTGGTGTTCTCTCTGCAATTCAATATCAACAACACTTTCACAGATGATCTGGGGGAGATGAACCCAAATACTTTTTGTGACCTAAAACGAGCTCTTTTCTCCCGACCTTTTAAATGGGGCATTGACATGATTCTAAAAACTAGCTAAAAAGTTGAAGAAAGCAGGAAACTCTTTTCTGCAGTGAAAGTGTACAATTGTTATGGGATTACCTGAAAGCGGTAGTCCTGACAAGCAATATACCAGTGGCGACAGACCAGGGACGCCTCTTTCCTGTCGGGCATTTGCAGGAAACTCAGAATGTAAGTAATAATCTGTTAAACAAACGATATCATGTCCAATCTGATCTATTTCAAAGTGGGATTAAACATTGAAAGACAGGAAGAGAGTGGTAAAGTGGCACTAGATAAACACATTTTCATTATGAATTTAGTTAGTTTTTACCGTGTCCATAGTATAAGCAGACTTTCCCCTAATTAGAGACACGTTTGGCCCAGTCATATGACTCCACCCCAAGGCACAATGACCATTAAAAGCGCGTTATATATTTAATCACCCCTATATATTCATTTCATATGTATACAGTAACAGATGTTTTTTTTTCTTTAAAATAAAACTGTGAAAAAACGATCTAGCTGAAGACACTAACAATAAGAGCAAAATAATGAATTAAAAGCTGTGCTGCACTGGAGTGCCCTCAACGTACTCCAAACATGCGCCAAACAAATGGGGGGGAAAGTGATATTTATTCTTATGCAGAATTAAGCTCAACTCACAGTATCTTAGAACATAAAACATATGAAATGACAGAAGGGCATTCAGCCCATCCAGCCCTTTGGCAGTCAGTAGTTAACTTAGCTGGGGATCTCTTCCAGCCAGTTCTTGAAAGACACCAGGGTATTGGCTTCAACATCCCAGCTCAGTAACATGTTCCATACACCCACAACCCTTTGGGTAAAGACGTGCCTCCTATTCTTGGTTTTAAATGAACTTCCACAGTTTTCATCTGTGCCCTCTGGTTTGTATTTCACTGTTCAATGTCATGTTCACAGTTTCATTATAAGTGAACTACCTACTGTATATAATGACACCTAACAATATTACTGATACTTTACTGTGCAACACATGTACTTTTCAGTGCGCAGGTTATTCTTCGTGCATTACTGCGTACTATGTAAATGTAAAATGGTAAAACTGCAAATGTCATACTACGGGTTAACTTGTTTTGTACACATGCGCAAGTACGTGTTACATAATACTACACAATGTCTTACCTCAACAGGTAACTGGGGCACCTCCATAACTGAATAGAAAATGAAAAACAAAAAAGGTCCAGACAAACGCTTTAAATAATAATAATAAAATTATATTAGTAATATTAGTACGGATCTTTATAATACATATATATTTAAAAAGCACACGTTTGTTTAGCCAACCAAAAAAATTCAAACACTTCCCTATAACAGCACATCTTCTCCAGGCGCAGCTGGGTACTTCATTCGGACCGCAATCAAAGACACGACACCTGTGACTTTGACACCCCAAACCGACAGTTAATCACCAGTGTCTACAGTAACAACTGAAATGGTAAGATCTCCTGACTGTCACATTCTATGACGCAACGGTGGGAGAACTGTAACTGGGAATGCTGGGAATTGTAGTTTATCTTCCACGGACCTTTAGTGAACTACACCCTGATGACATACACAGGGCCTATTGATTAAACCCGTTAGGAAGTAGACTTTCGTGGAGTAAAGTTAATAGTTATTATCGGAGAGAACTTGTGCTCTAAAACACTCCTGTAAAGGCAGATAGCGTGCACCTAACTACATTTAGTTTAGTTTCCTTTTCTGACACGCCCCCTGACAGCGCCCTCCTGAGACTTTATCTTGTTTTATACAGCCATTTACACTCGGTGGCGCAAATAGCTCAGATAGATAAGACCAAATCTCTCAAATCACAACTCTCTCTGATCGAATCTCATCTGGTGTTATTTGTGTGTCATTTTTATATTCTTATCCTAAATTTCACGGGAATGCCATTTTTTATTTAGTTTATTTAAAAAATGCAGCTCTGCTTTTTACAGTTTGCAATCGATTTATGTTTTGGACATATTAATTATAAAGGTCACAATGCGTGTGTGAATATGGTTGTGAGCGTGTATTTTGTTCCCCGTAGGCATATAAATGCAGCATAAAGTTTGATAAAACATCGCAAAGACACAGTTTTGTCTAAATATGTGTAGACTATATCACTGTACTTCATATATATGAATCTTCTTTTAAAAGTACGCAGATTTCTGTTTTTTTATAAATAGCTAAGCTTTTCATCGAAATAATTACGTAACGCAACTGCGTTGTTATACAGACATGTTTTACGCTGCGCAGTTATATTTAACCAAAGACATTATCAATTAATTTGTTCCATTGCACAAATGATTTGAAATGCATTAAATTAAAAAGTAATCGGACTCGATGCAAGCAGTTGAGCGCACTGATCCTGCTCAACAGCACCCCCTGTCGGAAGAACGGCGCTGTTCGAGGAAATCCGTTCGCCCGAGAGACCTCTGGACACCAGGGGGTTCCCGAAAATCCTGAACTAGGCTGTTGTAAAAACCTAATTGCTAAATTTACGTGGCTATGTTTTCCTCCCGTTTAATTATTTTATGAGTTTGGAGGAAACCAATAACAATTTTTGCCTATTGTCATGATGTTACAGAGGTAATTCATAGTTGGATTACGCTTCTCATTAACGAATACTGTAGGAATATGAGGTTTTCTCTGCATTGAAAAGTAAAAAAAGGCATTGAAATACTCGTTATGTTTTGGCTGGCAGGAGCCGAAACATAGCGTATCTTTAAATATATTTGAACTAATGTTCATTTGGAAACTCGCACTCCCACCCAACTCCACACTCTGACCCCGGTGTAAAGGACAGGACTCGCGGGGAAATAAATATGTACAATTGTAATGCCAAACGCAAACTACGGTACACCAACAGCCTGAATTGTTTAGGCACACTACAGTCGTACAATATTTTCCATTTCCAGGCTAGAAGAAATCTTAGTGTTAATATACCATGACCAATTGACCACTGTATAGAACATGTGCATTTTACATCTATAGAGGACGCTTCTGTAGAACTTGTACAGCCAGAACGTCTTTCTGATGACGTTAGAGGTGTGCGCCGGAAGTGTTGTCAGCTAATGCTGATGTGTTAAATTTAAGGAAAGCTTAAGTTTCTGTTATATCGGTTACATTTCAACCTGTTTTTTTTTTTAATTGTGGAATTTGATGTCAACAAGTCGGCAATATTTACAAGCCGGTATTATAAGAGGGGTTGGATCACTTAGAGGATGGCGGTACGTTGTGATCACATTTGGAATAGGCAGAATATTCTCGGATTTCAGGTTTTACAATGCTTACGTTCAACTGAAGTTAACATAAGTCATTTGATTAGTGTAAGAGGGTGAATGTGTACGCCTTTATTTTATTTTCTGGAGTTCAGATGGACCATTATTGTAAAATAATAATTTTAAATAGAGCTTAATTTCTCTGATCGTGAAACTGTATTCATACAGAGGGTATTTAGTTAAAAAATGTAAGAAAATGTACCCACTCAAAGGCTAACGGAAGTGTCGAGATCCGCATAACAATCAAATTCTCTCTGATTGCAGCCTAAGGGTAAGGTTGCCACAAAAGGCAAAAAGCAGATCTACGAAGACAATGCGGCCACACTGAAGTTCTATACGCGGGTCATTTTAGGAGCCAATGTAAGTAACCACCCGTTCAGTGACCCCACCTCGCTAATGCCTTCCTTACAATAATAAAATACAGTATCTTATTTACTTTGTAGCATTTGGATGTTTAAACAATTGTTTTAAGAAAGTCAAATATGGTATAACAAATGAAAAGATTGTTAATAACGTCGTTTAGCACTGCATTTGAATTATGCTTCTCATAACCTAACGGGAAACTCGCTTCTTGTTTTTTTTTTTGCAGGCGATATTTGCTGCTGTGAACCTCTTACTTTTTTCTAGTTCTGCATCATTTTGGACATGGGTAAGATAGCATTTTTACACTCATAATTCTTTACAGCGCAGTTAAACAAATGTAGCTAATACTTATCAGTGTTTTGGTATTTCTTGAAAGGTGTTCCTAAATAAAGTTGTATTACTATTATAATATTTGTACCTTGTCCTTTAATTGAACAAGGAATTTAGTACTATCAAAGAGTCAGTCTCTACATACTGAAAAAGTAATTGCAAAACCACTGAACTACCTGGTGTAGCTGGGGTTCTGGCAATCTTTTGAGGATATTGCATCTAACAGTTTGCAGACTGGAAATGCTTTGTGCTTTTTTATTATCTTTATTTCAAATGCTTCCATTACCCCCTCATCTCTTCCTGTACAGATTTAAAAAAACTCTGCTAGATAGCTTGGCTGTGGGACTTTTAACAAGTGATTCTGGTAGAATTCTAGAGCAGCTCAGTTTTAAGTTGACAGGCACATCTGTCAGGGTAACAAGTACTGGTGACGGAACTGGGGGCACTGGTGTGGAGTACTGGTTTGGAGATGTAACTAGAAGGTTTGGGCACTGCACTCAGATGATTCCAGCCCAGCTGTGTAAATGAACACAAACTGGGTCTGCTTGGTCTAATAATAGCTCACCTCTTTCTGACACTGTGTGGTAGGCCTTGCTGGTGTTTGCGCTGATGGTGTATGGAGCCAGCTATCGGTCCATGTCTGCGATGGCGAAACCCACGTTCTCCGAGGACGGCACCCTTCTGGATGGGGGAATAGACCTCAACATGGAGCAGGGAATGGCAGAGTGAGTTTTCAGTCTGCAGTGGGGTAGGTGAGCAGGAGCTGCTCTGTAAAAACACATTTCCGTCCCTGGTGAATACTTTTCAGTGTCTGTAGACGTATGTAGGTATTCCCTTTGCATATTGTAGGTTTTTGCTCAGCTAACTGTAGTTAATTGTTTTTAAGAAACAGTTTTGTTCCCCTTTTATATGGGATAAATGGAGAATTCTGGCTAGCAAACAGAATCGGTTTTTAAATGGATGATCTTTAAAGGTTCTGTACTTAAAGTTTTGTTAGCAGATGTAATGGAAACTGTATCGAAAGATATTTGTGGCCAATAAAAGTAACATTTTCTGAAGAAGGGATATATTTATGAAGTCTGAGATTTGAATTTTAGAGTATACTTCTGTATTGACAGTCTTTTATGGGGCTTGACTGTTGGATTGTGTTACTTTTCAGGCACCTGAAGGATGTGATTTTACTAACAGCCATTGTGCAGGTCCTCAGCACAATATCTATGTACTTCTGGTACCTTTGGCTCTTGGTAAGCAGATTTCTTTTAGATAACTATATTTTTGTCTTTTGTCTTTTAATGTAGTTATCATGGTTATGAGATTTGAATGGACAAATCTTGCAAAACATAAAATGTGCAGAAGCAAGAGTAAGAAGTTCCCAAAAGGTTTTTCCCCCAAGCGGGAAAACCCCAAAAACAAGTCCTGAATGGTTTTTGCAAATTCAAAACTGAAAATGTGGCCCATATTCCGTGACTGGCCCCTGTTCTTTTCAAGGAAAGCGCTTCACAATGATGCGTGCCCTGCTGGTGTAAAAAGGCAGCTTGGTGTCTTATTTCGCTTCTCTCCCTGTGCTGCGGCAGGCCCCAGGGAGAGCCCTCTATCTCCTGTGGGTGAACTTCCTGGGACCCTGGTTTTCGGCTGAGTCCCCAGCTGCCAACGAGGAGGTGAACGAGAAGAAGCAGAGAAGACAGGAGCGACGACAAATGAAAAGATTCTAACTCCGAGTTACTGGTTTTTATAAATAGCATATATACACAAGGCATACAGAAGTGAGAGTCTATCCATTTTAAATTATTCAGAAAGATTTTTTTTTGGGGGGGGCGTAGAGCTTACAGAAATAAAGATCTTACTGGTGTACACTTGACAAGACAAGAAGGATTTGTTTTAAGGCATTTGTCCATGCCTGTGGAGACAGTGCTGGATACCCATGGGGATCAAAAGGAAAGGAGGAAATAAATGCCCTGAATGCACATATTAATTCATCTGAGCAGTACAGGGACATCAGTTACACGGTGATACTGGTATTTCTACTGTGTCTTATGCAACAACTATACACAGGAGCACTGTTTCACCCATTCAATAGCAGAAAGCTGCACCCCAGGGCCAGTTCCAGAACACTGGGGCTGCTAGTCTGGACTCAACCCTGGAGGGGATGCCCTCCTTCATATGGCACCCATACATGCTAGGACACTGCAGCAGTTTAGAGATGCTGCCCAGGATTACACTGCTGGTATTGTATAAATTAACTTATATCACACTGCCATGCCGAGCCTGAAGACCGTTACCCCACGACTATAATGATTTTAATAATACTGACCGTCGCATCAGTACAGGGTGAGTCAAAATGCTGTCGGCAACTTTGACAGTTTATTCCAAATTAATTACAATGGTTACTGTGACAAGGTTTCAAACGAAAGCATAAATATCAAAGTTTCTAATGGTTACCTTACAATCCTTCGCCATCTGTGGAGGAGAAAATGAAACTTTAGTAAAATAATTGGCATTTATACTTGTCGACATCATTTTGACTAGCCCTGTATTATTGGAGTTGATGTTTCTTGGATGACTGAATGGATTCAGCCAAACAGATTGGTATCTGATTTTGAGGTTCAAAAAGGCGCATTAAGGTGCCCTTTTAGTTATGTTAGCATAATTTGTGTCTGGGACACCATACTGTAATTATCAGGGCTTTAAAATTGTGGAATCTGTGGAGCTGCACTGTTTTGCTTTAAGTAATACTGTCATGCTTTAAGTAATGGTCTTAGTATAACTTTATTGGTTTGAAACCAGAAAAATGTTTTTTTTCTTCACATGATTTGTTCATTTCTGCTGTTCACATTGTTACTATACATTAAATAGCTACTGTCTTACTAAGCAGTGCCTTTGATATCCTACAAACTCAAAGTGGTTGAAATTGAAATCTGTTAAATAATAGAAAGTTTGAAAAGCTTTCTGGTGAAACTGTTAAATGATTAGTGCTATTTTAATTTTAATTTTTAATTTTTTGGTTTATATACACAGTTGCATGTGTTACACTCTTCAGTCAAAACCACATGCCTGTTAGTGCTCACAAAAAATGGACAAACATGTTGACAGATGCATTTTGCACCTTCTTGGATATAATTCATGGTGGTCATTAGGGTGCATTAATGGACTCATATATGGTGCTTAAATCCAAATATTAAAGGCAATTTAACAGGTTCTTGCAGACCAAATGATTGTGCCCCTGTAGCGGTTCTCAATTTTACTTTTTTTTAATGAATCATTGCCTCCATCCCATATTTCCTTAAAGAAATGCTTGCCTATTGCATTCATCTGTCAGGAATCAGTATTGGGTCATATTTTATAGCGCTATTGTTCTCAGCTTGCAAAATACATATGCGAGGTCTGTACCTTTTTCTGCAGATTGCAGAACACGGGGAAAAGCATGATTCGCGGAGCCGTCTCGGCACGGCGTGATAAAGTGTAATGTCTTAATGTAAATAGAAAAAAAAAGCTGTTTCAATAAAAAGACAATTATCTGCTCGGTTCGTGCTGTCATTAGACTGAATTGATCGTATCCTGCAATTCTACAATATTGGATTGCAGTCTGTGTTTTTGTTGTGCTGAAAGTTTTTGTGTGATTTAAATTGGGTAACAACACTTATGCTGAAAATAGGCACTAGTTTATACTAGTACTAAAAATAGTACTAAAAAACATGTTCAATTTGTGCTATGAATTTAATGCCGGAAATGTTAGATCTTTAGGAGAGGGTTGTTTTTTTCTGTACCTTTCATAGAAAACGTTGCACTGCAAGAGGTCTGTTGCTTTCAACATTTAGAAAATGTCACTCAGAAACGTAGCGTAGCCTTAGGTTTCCAAGCATATGGCAACTTAAACAGAAAGTACAACGACACCATGTCTGCCAGTGTCCTATTATATATTTGCAAACATTTCAACATTGACTACAGCAGGTATGATTATAAAAGAGCTCTGAATGGAGTAAAACGTGGGAAAATTGAACTGAGCGCTTTGCCTCACGCGCACGCGCCACGAACAGGAAGCTGCGTGACCCGTCTGCCCTGAATATCACCCTTTCCGATTGGCTGACCCTGTTGCTAAGGTACTTACTTTACTGCGACTGTGGGTTGGGGTGTGGATCGGAGAATAGATACTTTGAAAAACATCAGTTAAAAGGGTATTTATGGACTCTTGAAAAGGCTATTTAATAAAATAGGTGCTTCTGTGAATCGTTTAAGCTGAGGAAAGGCTACCATCTTATTTCTAGACGTGGACAGAGGAGGCAGCTATGCCGCTGTGTTGCTAGGTTGGTAGTTACGAATCGGCCAATAGGAATCTGCGTTGGAGAGGGGTGGGTGGGCAGTAAAGGCGAGTGGATGACAAGCAGGACATGTTATAAACTAGTCAGGAATAATGGCTGGCTTTTGTTAAAACTATTCGGTGCTTTTTTTTTTAAATGATGCGTCCAACGACTGAACGTGTGAGCTGCAGGAAGTTTGGATGAACACAGATAAAGGACCGGTAGGTCTCTAGTTCTCGTGTCCTATTATATCGATGATGAAACGGTACGGTATTATTTTCTTGCTGTGTTCGTTGTTTACTGAAGTTAGTAGTTGTTACATGTTGCGGGGACTTTCTAGTATTACTCCATTCTGTAGTGGGTTGAGTTGGTTACAATTGAATCCACTTAAGGTTGTGGAAAATAAAATAGGATATATGAACTTGCGGTTAAACAGGACAGGTACTTTGGTGCCGCTACGAAGACTCTTAACTTCTTACTATCAGGAAACAACAGCACCTGGTGCACTTTTCCTTTGCCGTAGGTTATAATTTCCGCAAAGGTCGTGAAAGAAAACCATACCATCAATAACGACTGGACTTCTTGGTTGTTCTGCTGCACTTGTTTTGGAAATATAGTGGCATCATCTATCTCTCTACAGCCCAAGAAATAGTTTCCGCATTTCTGAAACCTGTCTTTCAATGTTTTCCACTGATCCTTTGTTTGAACATGTACATCGCGCTTATAATTACATTTTCCACTTTTGCGTTACGAATGTGTAGAATATTCTCTTGTTATCACTGCTGATATCAGATGGCAAAGAAGCTTTTCAAATATTAGTACAGTATTCTTCGTCACAATAAAAGACGAGTGTTACCTAGGCAACATCGCTTAGTAATTCAGCACCTTCACTTTATATTGGAGTTATGTCTCATTTAAAACTTAACAGACGGTCGAGATAACCTTACGACGATTTTTATTTTTACAGTTAAAAATAGTCAATGGTTATTAAATCCCCAAATTAATGTGTATTGTGCAATATGTGCATGCTACTTGGCTATGCCACATCGGTTTCCGTCCACTAATCTCTTATAAATGCTAACAATTTACCATTTTGTTAATATGACTTGTGATTGCCATTGCTGTTAACTGATACTTTGCTTTTCCCCCAAGATTACTCCAAGCACACAAATGCTCATCAGACATGGCCGCAGCCAACACAACTAAGACTTCTTGGAAACTGCGTGAGTGATTACATTTTCCATGGGGATTTTTTGGATAATTTGTGCTTACTGAAAGGCTGCTCATTGGATTAATAATATTATGTTTCATTAGCGTTGCTTAATCACATGTGCAATTTACTACTGTATTCATTTAGACTTGATGTGTGTATCTTACCAGAAAGTCAACAAGTGTTGTTGAAGGAGTGCAACCAGAGTGAGATGCTGACTTTCGGCATTATTTTATGTGAATCTTATTGTGAGTTGCAGAGCAGGACTTCTGTAGTAGCAATGCATGCTCCCAAATCGAGCAGATTTGTTGGGACACAGTAAGTAGATTAAATGTGCAACATGTTGCTTTTCCTAGAGGAGATTGTTGCTCACGCCAGCAATGTCTCATCTCTGGTTCTGGGGCAGACGTCTGGCCGGCTGCTGGCCACCGGAGGGGAGGACTGTCGAGTCAACATCTGGGCTGTCAACAAGCCCAACTGCATCATGGTAACCAGCCTGCTCTGTGCAAACTGCTCTGCTCTGAAGTCTTTTTCCTAGGCCTATTGCTCTCTCAAAAAATGCCTTTCCATTCTGTGTTGCCTCAGAGAGACACAGATAGATGGAATATTGCTAGAGATGACTTTGTTAAATCTGTTTTGATCCGTTTCTTTTTAACTTTAGCTTTCATTGCAGCTTCATAAAATGTCCTGATAAAATTGTAATACATCTGAGTTATGCCATTGGTAATACAGCTGTTTTACTCCATGAATTTTTGACCTTAAGAAACATCTTATATCACATCACATGATATGTATGTGAAATAATAGGTTTAGTTGATTGCTCAGACTGGAACTGAGAGAATTGTCCCTCTCTGTACCTTCCAATGTTATCTATAAAACTTGTCCTCTGTTGAGGACACTGGAATTGTGGAATGCAGTCATTGTTCTTCTGTTGCAGAGTTTGATGGGCCACAATAACCCAGTGGAGAGCATTCAGTTCAATAGCTCTGAGGAGCAGGTCGTGGCTGGGTCACAGTCAGGGTCTTTGCGGGTATGGGACCTCGAAGCAGCCAAAAGTAAGTCTACTGAGGTTTACTTCTGAAGACATACTAGCCAGTTTGAATTGCTCTTTCAGTGATAAGTCCTTAACCCCCAGAGGTTTCATTTCTCATGTTCCTGGAACACACATGGTTGCTGTTTCCGTGTTGTTAAGTGCTGTAAAGCGCTTTGTGGCAAACTGTTGTGGAAAGGACTATAGCAAATAAAGGGATTGTTTGTGGTTATGAAATTCTTGAACTAAAAGCAACGATAATTGGCTTGTTAAGTCAATAGCCAAAGTAAAAATGTGTAACAAATTGTAACAAACCCTAGTTTGTTACAAGAAAGCAGTTCCTAATGCAGAACAAAGTACTAATACTCATTATAAAATATTATAGGGCCATGTTAATAAAAAGTTTGTTGCATTAAGTTTTTTAAAAAGATCAAAAATGAAAAGTAATAAAATGTTTACATTTTTAGGTCTTGTTTAAAGATCCTGAAAGATTTAATACAGTACTATTCAGCTTCTTTGTGTTTAAAAAAACAAAAGATTTTATGATAGTACACAAAAAAACTGATTGTGATGTCTGAATTGTTGGCGCCTGCTGTTTGAAATGCTGTATGTAGTGTATGAAGATGATGCTCTAAATATCTTTTTTGCTTTAGTTTTGCGGAACCTATCTGGGCACAAAGCAAATGTCTGCAGCCTTGATTTCCACCCATTTGGGGATTATGTGGCTTCGGGTTCGATGGACACAAATATCAAGGTGCGTGGTGGCCCTTAACTCTGCGAAAGCATATACTTGTCCTTGAGATATGCCTTGTATAGCACCCTCACCTCAGAGAAAGCAAATTGTTGCATGTATGCATACCGAATATGTTCTATTTTGGAGCAGGTAGAGCAGTCTAAACCCTGTACATATTATTTTTTTTACTTGAGTTTAAATGTTATTTTTCGTTTTATAGCTGTGGGATATCAGAAGAAAAGGATGCGTGTTTAGGTATAAGGTAAGAAAAAACACGTTTATGCTGTAAAAATTGATAAAAGCAAAAAGTGTGCAATTATTATTGTCTGGTTGCAATACGGTAGGGTCTCCACATCTGTGAATTTGCTTATTTACAATTGAGTCCAGCTGACAGGGTCTGGGATGGAAGAAAGGCAGAGTGGGATGAAACTGAGCTGAAGGTTGTTAAACACTTTCAAACTGGAATTGCAACAGACTAGGATTGTGAGATGAATCTAGTTAATGAATGAGGCTCTCGCCCACCCCCACCATGCAACATTAAAGAGGTGGATTTGGTTATAAGTGAATATAGCTGCTTGTGATGGTTCTCTGCAGTATTATTACCCTACTGTGTTATAATACCTCACAGCCACGTAGACTGCACTTAATAAATTAGGATTTTATATACTATACTGTATTACAAATGAAGTGTTATTTTGAGATAATCAGGCGTAGATGCTTGATTATCATGGTGGATTATTATCTCTTCTCTTCTTTAATCTCATGTTGGGCACAATGATGGAAATTTTAATTTAGAGGGTGTGGTTTGTTGGTTTCCTGGATTAGTGGATGAAACCTTTTAATTTCCTGCCTTGGAGGAAAGAAGCTTTTCTTTTTGTTTTAGTTCTTGTTAGCATTCATGGTCATCGTTTAGTGTTACGTTTTGCAATGCAAAATAAAAAATGTTTTTCTATCTGTTTTTTTTCTGGGCTTATAAAGTAGTGTTAAACTTCCATTTCAGGGGGTGTGCACAGCACATTGTTTTCAGTAAACGAGAAGTGCCTTTTTGTTATTTTGTATTTGTAATGTTTGCCCTTCATGATTCTGGTTTCCTGTTGATGATAAAAGACCCATCCTGGGTGCACCATGGGTTCTGTTGTGAAGGTGTTCCCTGGTTTGGTGTGCATGTTCAGCTGACCGTGCTCTTCTTTCCTCAGGGACACACCCAGGCTGTCAGGTGTCTGGCCTTCAGTCCAGATGGGAAATGGCTGTCTTCAGCAAGTGATGACAGCACAGTAAAAGTAAGAGCTCCAGAGTAGGCTTGCACCTGAGTTTATCAGTTTTGTGTAATTCACAATGTTTGTGCATTATCTTTCTTTAGCATTTTTATGTGTGCATGTGCATTTGACTAGGTTATCCATCTAAAAGCCTTTAAATAAAACAAACCAAGCAAAAGTTCAGAATACAAGTGTACAGTAAATGGTTTGTAGCAATATATGCACTTTTAGCCTTTTTAAAATGGACTATTTGTATTATTAATCAATGATCCCCTTATGATCATGGCCTTTTTAATGTCCCCAGAGATAGAGTTTTGGGTCTAAATGCTGAATGTTTGCTAATGGATTTACACTAGAAGGAGGCACCTCTGTTCACATTTGATACTATAATCAAGTGACAGTTTGTTACTTCTGCAGGAGTCATTTTGAGACCTTTTATCCTTTTTTCAGCTATGGGATCTGACAGCTGGAAAGATGATTACTGAATTCACAGCTCACACAGGCCCTGTCAATATTGTCAAGTTTCATCCTAATGAGTACCTGCTGGCATCGGGCAGCTCAGACAGGTACAGTTGTGGAAGGAACGCTGGATTTCTTCATCTCTTTTACTTGGTGCAACCCCTTTTGTAACCATTGCTTGTGGAGAATGTGGGAAACTGACAGTTTATGAAGTTTATGAACACTGTTTGTTTAGAGATATTAACAAAGTATATAACCGCGTGTCTGGCCTTCAAGAAATTACTCTCCTAACAGACAAATAGGAAGAGAGAATGTGGTTATTAAGTTGGTATAATATATGTAATGCTTCGGGATTTTCACATAGTGAAGCACAGAAAGCATCACAACATTTAAAATCTATTACACTGTTCAAATTCAATTTCAAAAACAGATCATGCATTTCTCCTTTCATTTAGGACAATAAAGCTCTGGGATCTGGAAAAGTTTAAGATGATTGGCTCCACTGAAGGAGAGACGGGCCCCATCAGGTGGGTTTCCTTTCCTTACTATGTGGCCCTGCAGGATAGTTTTAGCAATCCTGTAAAACCAAATCTTTGGTGCATTTTTATCCCGGATCAGCTTTGGTCTGCTTTCAGAAGATTGTGTTGCACTGTGTAAAATATTTAATATTTCTGCCTTAATAATGCCTTCTGCAGAGCTCTCTCTGACTTGACCTTTCTTCCGGTCAACCTCCAGATGTATAGCCTTTAACCCTGATGGATGCTGCCTGTACAGTGGCTCCCAGGACTGCCTCAGGGTGTATGGATGGGAGCCAGACCGCTGTTTTGATGTGGTGCCTGTGAGCTGGGGTAAGGTGGCAGACCTGGCCCTCTGCAACAACCAGCTGGTATGTATTCAGACTGCTGAGTTCTTGGGCTTCTCATAGTGCTGACATGCAGTGAGGTGCGTTCACATGTATTGGCGGATCTATTTTAAAGGTAGTGATGGATATTGCTTTCAAAACAAAGCTACTGGGTTTTTTTATGTAGAAGTACTTTTGTGCTGTTCGTTAAGTTGTATCCTGGTTAATACTGTCAAGAGCTTAAATGATGTATTTAATAGATTTAACAGTCACAAATGCTGTCCTGATTCTTTTTTGATAGATGTAAAAAAATAATTGCATAGTTAATAAATTAAATGATTATAGCAAAATGCTCCTAAAATGTTAGATGGATTTGTGAATTTTTAATCCTTCACATGTATGATTTAATGTCAGATATAAAATGTCCCTGCATAAAATCTTATGCTGTCCAGTAATTTCTGGCTCTGTCCCTCTGCCCTGAGATCGGAGTGTCCATCAGTCAGTCCGTCGTCTCCTCCCATGTTGTGGACCTGAACCGAGTGAAAAAGTCAGGTTCTGTGATTCAAAGTCTGGTTCAGGACGACAAGCCGCTCAGTGAGCCCCCTGCCAAGGGTGCTACAATTCGGCGCAATTATGAGCGTCCACTCACAACCTGTAGCAAACAGAGGTAACTATCCCTACTCCTACAGCGGCCTCTGCTATGCCAGTGAAGATGGCATTAGTACCGCTCTATCAACCCCATCCCGTACTCAGCAGTTTTAAGCCAGTATTCTGCATAATAAATTACCTGCGATTCATCACGTTTTATTTTTCTGAAATGAACTACAATTGTTGTTTGTATCTTTACATACAGTATATATCCCCTATATGCTTTGAAACTGATGCATATTAAAATCTCGCAATATTCAAAGGGCCTAGTCTTCAGGTGTTTTTCCCCTGATGTCAGACAGTGTATTCTGCATCATCGTCAGTGCTGCCTGTCAACCGTACGCATGTTCCTTCAAGCCTGAAATGTATGATGGTGCCCGACTGTGTCCCTGCTCAGGGTGAAGCAGAACTCGGAAAGTGAGCGCCGCAGCCCCGAAGGGGAGAGGCGCAGCCCCAGCAGCGAGGAGGAGCGCGACGAGAAGGAGTCCACCGCCGAGATCCGCAATGCGGAGGATTACAAGGAGATCTTCCAGCCAAAGAGTGCAATATGTACGCGGCCACGCACCCAAAACCTGCATCTCCCTTTGCTGCTGCTTCTTATTTCTACTTTATTCACAGCTTTTCTGTTATTGTCCCCAGTTTGCTCACTGTCTTCCGGCAAAATTTCATTTTTCAGTATTTCATGTGCTTTGACCTTTTGCAGAGAACATCGGGACGCCATGTTTGGGTCAACATGAATTTTCACAGTATTTAATGTTGTTGACCTTATTTTTCTCCGTCTGTGGACATATGTGACTCTCTTGTTCACTTCACAGCTCGCACCCCCCCTAAGAAGAGTGAGCCCTTCCCTGCACCCCTGGAAGATGGTGGGTTTCACGGGATAAATTATTCTTGAGTATGAGTGCATATTGTTATTATTAAACCTGAAATATGTGAGAAATGTATTTCCTCACAGAGCACTGGCATTATGAGAGCAAGTGGTGGGAAATGCTCCACTTTCAACTTATTTCCACTTTTAAAAAATCTTTTTTAAGCTAAGATGTGTGGAAGTACCTAAGCAGACATTTTACAGGTCTAGATGTTTTCATTTAGGGTATTCTCTCCAATCCTTATCTTGTTTAAACGGGGACATTTTTTTAAATCTTTAATGGGTAGCCTTTTATGGTGTTCCTCTTGAATGTAAAAAGGTAGCATATAACTAGTACACTGTTAATAGAGGAAATATAAGTTCATCTTAATTGAAGTTCTTTGATTTCAATATATTTTTTGGCATTGCCTGTTTCTCTTCTTTATAGAGACGTTTCCAGTGAAGCCAAACTCTGCAATTGAGATAACTCCCATTCCAGACAAACATGCAGTAGGTGTTGAACCACAAATTCTAATTATAGAAAAAATACAGCAGCTAATAAAAACAGTATATTTTATTTAATATTCTGGATTTGTGTTCCAATATATAAACCTTTTTCCATTTTTAAATGTTATAAGCTAACTAAGAGATAAATCCTGGGATTCTGCAGATATATCAGATATATAGTAAAAGCACAACCAGTGGAACATGAGAACACCAAGAATAAAAGCTGTTCAGGCTCCTGAAACAGGGCATGGATGGTATATGATTTTATGTGATGTAATTATTCATCCTTCCTTTCATTACAGCCTGAGATTCTTAAAATACCAGCCATAACAACATCTACCCCTATCAGTCGGGTGGATCCGGCCATAGCGCCCCCTACCAGTCGCCCATTGCCTGCGATTAACCCAGCCAACCGGCCAGTGGCGGGGATGAAGCCTGCTGAGCCTGCTGTCATACTCGCCTCACGGAATGAACCCATTGGGCTGAATGTGGCCGACTTCCTCCCAGTACGTCTGCCAAGCGCTTCTTTCTTGGCATTGGAGCCAAAGCTACAGCTGGACACGTCTGTTTTCCTACCGGTCCTATAATGCGTGTGTGGTTTGTTGGAGGTGAGGTGTATACATATTTATTTTTCCTTAATGAATGTTGATTTTGTCTCCTTAGCCAGCAAAAAGTAACAAGCAACCAGCCTTGAACGATGATGATGCCTTGACTCAGATAAGAAAAGGTCATGACACCATGCGTGTGATGCTGTCTAGTCGCCTTAAGAACTTGGATACAGTCAGAGCTGTGTGGAGCTGTGGGGATATGAAGGCAAGTGTGTAGAGCCTGTGAAGACTATTCAATTGTACGTTTTTTATTATATGAAAAAAAGTTTGATTTTTTTTTTGTGACTTTGTGACATTGCTTGAGTAACAAAATTCAGACTTTTCAGGTAGACAACTACCTGCTTGATTTAAACTTTATCTGCTGCCTTCCTGTTTCAGACTTCCCTGGACTCTGCGATTTCCATAAATGATCTTTCTATTGTGGTCGACATCCTAAACATTATCAACCTTAAACCGTGAGTGGTGCTTCAGTGCTTTCTAAATTGATGCATTCAGATCTTCAGGATAGCATCTCATTACATGTAGGCTAGGCTTCTTTTTCATGAAGCAGATTCTTACATTTTTCCACATTGTATTTAAATTATAACATTGCTGCTTTCACTTCCACAGCCTTTTAATATACTAGGGAATGAAAGCAAATGTACCTTTTGCACTATGATATTATGAGAAATATTAAGGTTAAAAGCAAGGAAATGATATTCAAATCATGCTGCACATTGAATGCTTTCCAATAAACTGCCTTTAATTAACATTTATAGAATTTGTGTTAAGGCTACAGATCACAGCTTTTGCTTAACTTATTGATTGGGGATGCAAGATGTTCTTTAGCTAGAAACGCATTGAAACTAGGAAGTGCAGTTAAAACCCAAAAGTCAATAAAACTCATACTTCTATGATAAACGCTGGAGACAAATATAATTTCTCTGTTCCTCAAGATCGCTTTGGAAACTGGACCTCTGCACATCTATCCTCCCCCAGATTGAGGAGCTGCTGCAAAGCAAGTATGAGAGGTGAGTAGACAATCCAGAGAGATCAAGGCAAGTTCCTTACTGAAACTTCCAGCTCCATTTCATTTATATCCACTTTTAATATTAACAGAATCATTTTTATTTAATTAAAATGGATAATACTGGATTAATTCAATATTATCAAAATTCATTTTTTGGAAATTGTTTGCCTTAAATATATTTTGCTTGTTAAAGTAATGCTACTGATTATAATATCAGATGATCAGGACGTTTGGTACTGAATCCTGTTATCCATTTTAAAGTAAAATTTGAAGACCTGCTCCCACAATGTTCTGCCCTGAAGAATAAAATGTTACTCTCCTTGTGCTTCTCAGCTATGTCCAAACAGGCTGCACCTCATTAAGACTCATCCTGAAACGTTTTTGGCCCCTGATTTCTGACACTCTGACTGCACCCCCTTCTGTTGGGGTTGATATTACAAGGGAAGAAAGGTGAGAACTCCTGTCTTTTGGAAAATAAAAGGACAGTTTTACTGTCTCTTCAATAGCTCTCTTTGGCATGACTTTGAAATGGAAGAAGTGATTAGAAAATGAATAAATGGATTGCATATATCAAAAAAACATCTTTAATGTTAAGATAAGAAATGTTATTGATGTGGCGTACATTGTTGCTGCATGCATTTTTAACCTCTCTTCCTCTGAACTGTCTGATACCCTCCCTCGCAGACATCAGAAGTGTAAGGCATGTTACAAGCAGCTGAAGAACCTGAGTAACGTTGTGAAGAATAAAGCTGGCCAGGTGGGACGGCATGGAAGTGCCTTCAAGGAGCTGCAGCTACTCATGACTCCTTTGGACTGAAAGTACTTCTCTCCCAGACCCTTTCCTCCTTGTTAAACTGTTGCTCTCTGCCATGATTTAAAATGGCAAAAGCAAAGCACTTATCACTGAGCTTGGATGTTGGACACAGCAGAGAAAGCTGATGGAGGAGTTGTGATGCACTGAGGGCAGGGACTGTGCTCCGCTGAATACCCACAATGCTGCAGGATCGTCTGATGGCTCCAGGTGTTGACAGTTGTGTTTCAGTACCCTGTGACCATGGGCCACACGAAGATGGGTTTGAAATGTGGCAGGTTTTTCTATTCTTTTGTTCTGATCACGTTTTAATGTTTTCATTATTTTTACATTTTCTGAGATGCTGAGGACATAGTCCAGCTTGGATTTGTCATGGGCAGGAGCATAAAAAATAAAACTATTTTGCAAAGTATACAGACTCTGCTGACATGTTGTATACAAATTGTCATCATATGAAAATACAATATGCTGCATTTCTTCTAGTTTATAGTACCTACTGTAGTTCCAAACATTTGACTGGGGATCTCCAGAACCAGTTCTTTTAGGTTACCTTAGATTGCTTGTTGTTTCATGATTAGGATCATTTGCTAAGAAACTGGTGAATTAAGCAAGGAATATGCTTAAGAGAAGACCAGTAATTAGAGGCTGAAGGATACAGTATTATGACATGTTCCCTAATGATATCTAAATTAGTTAATATTCAGTTTTATTGATTATTCAGTTCCAGGCCCTGTAGACATTTGTTAAAACCTTGGCCTCTCTCGGATCATTATTGGGAGAACCCTCTCCTAGTAGCTATGATTTTACATTTAAGCTTTTGTGTCACGCTGTGGTGAAACCTCACAGGTGAACTGGAGCAATCGGATGAAAAGTGGTTTCAGTTTTAACTCCAACAAGAACAATATAAAGTAACCCAATTTCCATCTGCAAACTAAAGCATAATATTAGCAGAATTCTCAAGCAGAATATTAGCACTTGGTTTATAGTTACTGCCATCACTATTAACTTTAGATAAATTTTGGTTAAAGTTATAGGTTTATTATAGTAATAAATGTATATTTAAATGTTTTGTATGTATATAGTGCAAAATATTTCCAGCACATGCACAAAATGATCAGTTACTCTGTTATCCTTTTGAATAGTTTCTTCTCTTTAGATCACAGGTTTAGGATGATTGAAATGTATATGTGAAACGGCAAGATTGCTGTTATCCCAGCCACAAACAGCTCAAGCACAAACGATGACACCCACTGCTTTTGTTAGTGCTTTCGTTCCTGAGATATAGGGCCTTTGGGGGGGGGGTCACGTGACCATGCAGGCGGTTTTGACCGCTAGTAACCTCCTATGGAAAATTCAAGCTCTCTGTCACTGGATGCAAGAGTATGAATGTCTGCAGTTTTGTTTCACTGTTTGCCGGGGGACGGTCGATTTTGTCTTTCATACCAGTAATTTCTGTCTATTTCTGTGAACAGGAAAATTGTTTCTAATATCATGCCGTCATCGCACGAGTTGCGGGTTTAGCCTTAAAAAGCGAACATTTGCACGTTCTTGAAAGAGGCTTTAATTGGCACATCTTATACTTTGTATCTGTGTCAACATTTTGTTTTAATCTGAAGAAGTAATAAGTTTCACATTCTGTCCGTTTTAAATATCAAATCTAGAGACGTTTAAAGATTCCACTAGGAAATTGTTTTTTAAGGGGCACTATGTACTAAATTGACCTTGGTAGTCTCTCACACATGAAAGGAAATATCGGAAATATTTTAAACTTTTTACATAAAATAATTGAACATAGATCTAGTTTTTTTTAAAACCGTCATGATTCAAGTGTAGACAATAACTGACTATTTTTGTCAACGACACAAGGCTATAAATTCAAATTCTATTCCTTTTAAACATTTCATATGTTGTAGATGACGGCCTTTTACGTAGTTTTCATTGCAATGACGTGATCTATAGTTAGGGATTAAAATGAGCATAGTAACTGATTTAAATCCCACACTATTAAAATTATGCCTAGATGTGTATACGATGACGGGCGCACCTCGGCACTTAAACCGAAACGGCCAAGTTTGCACAAAACAACGTATGGTCGGAATAAACACCATACGAGAAACTAATATATATTATACCTGTTCACAAGGATGGTGGATTCTGTTATCAAACAAGACACCTATGAGAGCTCTACTCTAACTTGTTTGCGGTCATTATAATGCTAAGAGCATTTACTGTATGAAGATGTAAAAATGATTCAGGGGAAGGACGGAAGGTTGCTTTTAATTTAAATAAAGTTTGTCTTTGTAATCCTATCCGTTCTATACTTTCAGAAACATACATTTCCTTCATAGACCAGTCTATGAAGATCATCATCCAGCGCTGGCACCGGCTACTTAGAAAACAATATAATTGGATGCTCAGCTCCTTGTGTGGAGCCAATAGGAATTGACGTTTCCTCTTGTTGACCAATAGGAACAGCTCCTCGGTATATGAGCAACTGGCCAATAGCAAATAAAGGAACAATCCCCCCTCCCCCCGGCTGACAGACCGTGTTTCTGGTTTCTGAGCCCCCACAAGAAAAATTCCTCACCACTTCAGCAAGGAAACAAATAAAAAAAACAACTAATCTATATTAAGCAAGTCTGACTACTCAGAACTGGTATGAAACCTAGAAGTCCATACCATTACTGCAAGTGGTGTGGGGTGCAAGAGACCTGGATGTGGTGCTCTTCCATCTTACCTTCTGTAAGGTGTTCATATCATCCACCTGATTGTTTATGCTAGGTCTATAGAAAGTAAGAATAGGGGCACTAAAATCTAGTCTAGACTAACAACCTAGACATTGTTTCATATTCATTTAATTTCTTACTTCTCTAGGTAGCAAAGGGTCTATTGTTACAGTATGGTTAATGTCTCCCATTTGTGCTGTATTTCCCTGACAAATATAATGCCAGCTGACATGTAAAGTACCATCTATAGAAAAGGACTTAGTCTGACATTTTTTATGCAGTAGTGAAATGGCTACAACCCCTCAAACCACAAAGAGGAGGCTATTAGGTCCTGCAATGTTAAGGTGCAGCTTCGGTCTCCCAGCTCAAGTGTCTCCAGGAAATGGTTGTATAGGTGACACTCATGCAAGCTTTGTGAAAGCCCCTGCATTCTGTATGGATGTTCAATTATCAAGTGCATGGATGCCTGCCCCCACAATGACATAAGTGGGGTAGTTATCCAAAGAAGAATGGTAACTTTCATTCAACAGCCCATGTTCAAGGAAGAATGGTAAAAGACCACTAGAGTAGATGTACTCCTCACTGCACTTCAGGAAAACCTGTGTATGCTCTAGATTAAGCCAAGACCTCTAATCACCCCTTTTGGAGAGCCTGAACCCAGCAGGTTCTATGCTTAACTAGAAGATGATAATTTAAGGACCTTGATTAACCATCTAGCGGATGTAAAAAAAAAAAAAATTGCAACAAAAGAGACCATTCAAGGTAAATCCCTCCTGTTAGTGGGACCAGCAGACAAGCTAATGGCCATTTACAATGAGACTTCAGGACATCTCAACTTTATTGCAGACATGATACAGTTCTCAAGCTCAGGGATCACCATACAAACCATATTACAGATGCAGTGTGGAGGATGTCCCATTCTAGAGCTTCAGTTGCCAGTCTCCCTCCTTCCCATGTGATCAACAGGGCTCTTTGTAGCACAGTTTTCAAGAGAAAAGGAGAGGTGTTACACAAACAAGTCCCGACATGTGGTCATTGTACATTGTCTTAGAATAGCAGTTCAATACCAACAACACCCCTACCCTGGATTTACAAGCTTTGAGGGAACAAGCTCCTCAACCTTACCCAGATCACGAGCCATCATTGGGAAAATAACCACACCATCCCACACTTGTCCAGTGGAGATACTGCTGCTGCTAGGAAACTCACTTCAGCACAAAAGCATTAGTCCAATAACCCAGTCATTTTACCCAAAAGGACCTTCAATTTCTGCCCGTTTCAGCAGTGAAGTAACCATAGCAGTGCCCTACCTGGGATTTCAGTGGAGGGATCGCTCCTCACCGACTGTACAGCAGCAAGCTGGGTTTCTGTATCCCCAAGATGGGAACACAACTAGGTTCTTCCTAATATACAGCTTTCCTCAAGAGCCTACAAAACTAGTCCCTTGGAATGGTGTTCTTGTGGAAATCTAGTCTTTGCCACAGCGTGCTGCCAACACATGCTGGACAGATCAACGCAAGGTAATGCCCACACCCATGAAGCCTCAGTTTCATGGTCTCGTGACTAAGATTGCACAGCCTTCAGAGTCTGTACATGAGAGCAGCCAGCTAACCCTCATCTAAAGCAAGTCCTTGAAATAGAGAAAGCAATGTGGACAACATGTGCTTATTTTTGCATGCAACATCTCCAGTCAGTATTACTAATTAAGAGATCTGCAAAGGCCATTTTCTCTATATCGACTCACCCAGGAGCTGGCAAGCACACATTATCTTGTACGTGTAGCACTTCCTACTGCATCTCCAAGTCACAGTACAGCTTCTCAAGTCCCACAGATGATGAGCTGACTTCAGTAATGGTGTTCTGGTTGAGTTTTCCAAACCATTGACATCTTGCTCTTCTCAAACAGATCTCAATACCCAGATCTCCAGGCACACTGGCAATACAACTCACAAGAAACAATTCTCCTGTTCTTCTCCAACTCAAAACACAATCTAAATGTTTTCCATCAAGGGTTCACTTTTATAAGCCTCTTCGTTAAATACGGGGGCTTGGTTAATTGCATGGGAACCAATCCCGAAAGCCCTACAATCCTCATGTGGAATGCCCTGGTGTGTCCACCTCAATAATGCTCACCTGCTTCCAGATCCCTGCCTGCTCAGAAGCCATCTTGGCTCAGAGAAACACCACAGTCTGGGCTTGAGCCAATATGCAAGGTTCCTAAAAAAAACTATCATGTAGGTCACAGGGACACTATGACGTTGCTTAAATATATTTTAAAGGTGTGTTCTTTCTAAACCTTTTAGCATCCCTCAGGTTATTTAAGAAATAGTTTAAGATGAAAGGATAGTGATTTGATTCTGGTTTATATATATTCCATTACACATATAGACTTGTAATTTTTAACTCTTAAATCAGTTCACCACCCGATATTATTTCTCTTACTTTGTCACAACTCTTGTCAGTGCCTGCTATGATTGGAATTGTGTTCTCGGTTGATCTATCGCAAAGGAGGAAGTCAGTGCCACAGACCTATTATAAAAACATGCTTTACTAATAGTTTCTTTGTTTAGAAAATAATACTGATTGCTGAATGTGAAGCTCACTGAGCTCGGGAAACCACGAGTGAAGGGCTCGGCGATGTGAGAAACCTCAGGCATGAGCTCAGAGGAGATGAGAGAGGACAGAGGCGTAGGAGGATTGTAGACTGTGGCCTGAGAGTCCATGAGCTGGGGGCCCAGACATCTTGGTGTAGGCGTCTGGTTGCTCAGATGAGGGGGCTGTGATTATCAGCAGGAGAGGAGAGTGTGGGGGTGTGTCTGGAGTGTTAGATATGTCTGTTGGTGCCCATAGTGGCGTCAGACGCCTCTGTGCAATCAGCCAGCTTTCTTTGAGCTAGTTCTTCCTCCCTGCTGCTTCCAACAGCTGCCAGAGTCTCTGCCTGAGCCTCTCACAGTATTCATGATACTTTTACAGGACACCATTGGTGTATATGCTGTGCTGATCCTGCTCTTGACCTCTGTAGGAAATTGTTAATCTCCTGCCAGGTAGGTTCAGACTCTTCAAAAGGAAGGGAGGGTTCGTCTGGTTTAACGAGTGTAACCAAGTTGTCTGGGGTCGCTGTGGGTTCTTATAACTATTCTTCCACCTCCTCTCTTGTGAACTCCAGTTTTCCTCATCTTTTATCCATATATAATGCTTAGGGGAAGAATTAAAGTTTAGAATTGGGTTGCACTGAGACTGAGAAATTAGAATTTATTTGAATATAATATGTACTTTAGTACAGTGCAATAGTGTTGAAAA